GAGGCTCTGGTCGTCCATACTTGGTCGTTTTAGCACAGCGGCTGGTCTTCTTCCAGACTTAGACGTTTTGGCACAACAACATCTTCAGATGTTCCATTCTTAGCCCCGATTGCTTAATAAAACCTTTTGAGATAATTATTAGGATCAATTTGATGCTAACAATATATATGCAGTTTGTTCTTCCAAAAAAGCCTCAAGAGTAAAAGTCTAAGACCAATGAATTGCAAATTCGGGGAAACTCTAAAAACACAAAAAAAAAAAATGATAAATTGGACTATTTTGATAAATTAAAAAGCTAAAAAATCATTACTTACATAAATCACAGTTTTGATTCTTGAAGTCCAAAACTCAGAAGCGTGGAACAACCAATGAACAATAGAAGTTGCTGATGAAAAGAGATTAAGAGAAATCAAAAACTTTTTGCAATTTGCTTGTTTCAAGTTTCAACAGACAACAATCAACATCCAACACAATAAGTTAAATAATGATAAAAAAATCGTATAAATAATGACATATATCCTAACCTAAACCCCCATTAACGGGTATGAGTAGACTTTGGAGGATAGAAGGAGGCCTCTGCATCAGATTCTTCATGTCTCTTCGTGATTTGATTGTAAATTACCGTTAAGGAAATGAAACGTCAAACAACGTCTTTGAAAACTTGAAATCGGAACGGAGTAGCCGAGTAAGAGAAGAAGAACATACAGAGTTTGGACCGAGTCGGGGGAGAATGAAATTTGGTTTTTTATTTTACAAATGGGCAGGGTCGGTCAAATCATTTGCAGGTACATAAATAGCTCTAAACAATCTTGTTTTTTTTAACATGAAGAAATAAAGCGAATCTAAATAGATACTATGTTTACATGTAGTCGTTGCTTTTCTTTCTGTTACTTCGAAAGTGGTCGTATGAACTAAAATCCTATTAATTGGAGAGGTGAGAGCGTGTGCGTGAGTTCTCGATTTCTAGAAGATTGGAAGAGACGAAGAGTCGATCGATTACTCGATTAGGTCCTTAGGAGAGCGTAAGCAACAACCGAGATTTCCAGATTGGTGAGGCGTACAGTTAACCTTGGAGATGAGCCATAAATTTAGGACTTAAATTATTTGGGCCCTCTCACTTCTCGGTCTTAAGCTTTTCTCTAAATTATTTTGGCCAATAATTAATCTGTGTTTATTTTTTTTACCATAATATTTGTAACTATTAACATTCTACTAAAAAAATTGAGCCCCTAATTTTTATGGGCCCTGGGCATATGCCCAGCCCGTCCTCCCCTAGGCACGACACTGTAAATGGTTTAAAAGTTGCTCAAAACATATTTACCTACAACATCCTAATACCTAAAATACTCTATAAACAAAACAAAATTAAGAAAACTTAATAGCATCTTCAATAGTAAAACTGTAATAAACATAGCAACAGTAAAAATCTATTTTTTTTTACATTTTCATCATATGATTTTGATTTATGTGGGGTGCATATAACATTACCCTATTTTTTTACTTCAGCTTATAAACAAGACTTTTTTATATTGGATTTGAAAGCTTTTTGCAAAATTGTTTTACAAAGACATGAGCATCTTCAAACTGTTTGGATTTTTTCACCAGTCCATTCGTCCGTCTCTCCCTCATATAAAAAATCATTGAAAAACTTTAAAACACTGAATTGTAGTTGATAAGATTACTTTTCGTTCGATTTGACAGCCTGACAAAAATAATTCAAAGACTTTGCAAGTGGAAATACTCTATGAATTCATTTTTAGAAGGACAAAACGTGAAATAACATTATTTTTATAAAAGGTACAAAATAGCAGGGTAAACACCTCGACTCAATTTCCTATATAAGTTTCTTTTTCAGTTTTTAACATATTTTCTTAAGCTGAAGCAAATATTCACTTGTAAAATAAATTATACAGCTAAATATTGGTCATTTGTATATATAATATTTTGGGTTTGCTTTTTAATCTAAAGGTATATTCTGTTGACAACCATAGATATCTGAATTAGTTTGTGCAACTCAACTAATTTTTATGGGATTCTGACATTAACAATATGGGCTAAATCCAAGACCTAGCCAATTAATTTATATAGAGAACTAGAAGTATATGCGTACAATATAGTGCAATGTAATTTCTGTATTTCTTCATTTTATTTGTGTGGTTTTGAAAAAGTGAGTTGATTATCAGTTATTGGTAGTAATACTCGGTGTTTATCTTGTATTTGTTGATTATGAGTTAGTCTATGAAGTCCAAATGTATGTAATAGTAAGTTGTAAATGCATATTACTTAAAATTTAAGATTACAAATAAATTGTGCATAAGTACAATTTATTAAAGCTCCATTTTTAAATTCGTATAACTAACTGTAGGTTAGCATAATCAAATATATATTAAACATCTCATTTTAAATATAAAAAACTAAAATATAATTAGAATAATAATTGAGTTCTAACAGAATCGTAATCTTTATAAAAAATTATATTGTTAAGTCAAAAATAAATTACTTCACTATTAGACCTAAATTAAATTATAATAAAAAAATTAAATTAAAGAAATTGTACAAAAAAGAGCTTTTAAATAGTTAATTTGACATTAATATCCATGTACAATTTTATGAAATCTTCAAATTTATTTTTATTCAAAAGTAAAAACATTATTTTTTTCAAAACCACATAAGTAGTATTATATTAATCAAGATAAAAAAATAAACGAAACATTAAAATGAAGACGTATCTCGCTGCATTGCGCGAATACCTTTCTAGTGTGTATATATATATATATATATATATATTTCTAGTATATATGTGTGTGTATATATATATATATATATATTAAATTGAGATATATATATTATTGTTTTTAAATATTGATTCGTTTATATGTAAAGAGTAATATGACTTTCGGAAAACTATTCGAACTTTTATTTTTATTGTTCACGATAGAAGTAAAACTAGAATATTATAAATATTAAATGAATTATTAATTTTTTGTACATAATTTTTTAACATTAAGAGTTTTGTAAAAACAAAATTTAAATACTTTATTATATAGTATAGATAACGATGGTCCGATATTCTTTTAGGTAACGTTTGATATGTAAATATAATTAAAAGGGATTAAACAAAATAAATTTAGACATATAAGATTAGACAAGACACACGTTCAGAGCCTAACATCCGTACAAATTGCAAACGACAAGGCTCAATGTCAAAAAATAATGTTTGCAGAGCTTAGATGGAAGGCGAAAAAGACCTGCTTCCGGAAGTCGCCTTTCGGGTTGTCTAAATATTTATATCTATTAATTGCGTTGCAACTCGCAACGGAATTAATGAATACTAGAAGAGTACTCACGCAATGCAGCGAGACACATCTCGATTTTAATGTTCTGTTTTATTATTTGTCTCTGTCGATGTTATAATACGATTTTATGTGTTTTTAATAAAACAATAATGATTTTATTTTTGAATAAAATATAAATTTGAACATATCATAAAAATTTGAAAAAAAAATATATTAATGTTAATATCAAATCAACTATTTAAAAGTTTTATTTTTTTATGTAATTTCTTTAATTTTTTTTTATTATAATTTAGTTTAAGTTTAATAATATAATAATTCATTTTTGGTTTAATAATATAATAATTCATAAAGATAATAATCAAATATTTTGTTAGAACTCAATAATTATCCTAATTATATATTTATATATTAGATTTTTTATATTTAAAATGAGATGTTTATCCTGTATTTGATTATGTTTAACTACAGTTAGTTACACGAATTCAAATATAGAGCTTTAATAAGTTGTACTTACACACAATCTACTTGTAATCTTGAGTTTTAAGTAATATGCATTAATAAACAATATTTTACGCATAAAAAGTGGTTTTTAAGAGTTTTTGTTATATGCTTTATAATATAGTATAAATTAGATTTTTTATATTTAAAATGAGATGTTTATCATGTATTTGATTATGTTTATCTACAGTTAGTTACACGAATTCAGATATGAAGCTTTAATAAATTGTACTTACGCACAATCTACTTGTAATCTTGAGTTTTAAGTAATATGCATTAATAAACAATACTATACACAAAAAAAATGATTTTTAAAAATTTTTGTCAAATGCTTTATTGTATAGTATAGATAAACATTTGGATGGATCGGAAAGTTCGGCCATTATTTTTAACATTGGGCCTCCTCGTTTGAAATTTGTACGGGTCTTGGGCCTGAATGTATCATGACTATCGTCTGGTGTTGCGACACGTAAATTTTCTCCACAAATTAACGCCAACACCTGTTCGGCAAGATTTCTCCGTCCATTCATATTCATATCTTCACAACTTAACCCTAATCTCACATCGGAATTGAAATTCCTTTTCAATCAAGAAGAGATAATCAGGAAAATGTTGAAGCACGCTACTAAGAGGATTCTAGGGTTGGGATTATCTGAGACACGGTCGTCTGCACCGGCGGTTACTCGGATTCTGCCGAGGTTTTACCATGAGAGGGTCGTGGACCATTACAATAATCCCCGCAACGTCGGAGCTTTTGACAAGAACGATCCCACAGTTGGCACAGGGCTTGTGGGTGCGCCGGCTTGCGGAGATGTTATGAAGCTTCAGATTAAGGTTGATGAAGAGACTGGAAAGATTACGGATGCTTGCTTTAAGACGTTTGGTTGTGGCTCTGCCATCGCGTCGTCTTCTGTTGGTGAGTTTTCTTTTGGACATCGTTGCTCTGTTTTATTAAGGAGATTTGTATTTAGATTATTGATGTTAAACAATCCCTTCAGTGTGAGAATTATAGTGTTCTAGTTCTCGTAATTCGCAATTCATACCTAAATTTACAGTACATGTTTTGGTTAAACTTTAGCTGTCTAGGCGTTAAGCTTTTTCCCATGGCTTCAATTAGTTAGGTATGCCGAGCCTAGGAGTTTCTCATATTGCTTTCTTACTAATCGCTGAATTAAGCTTCTCGAAAAATATTTTCCCCGTATTAATGAAATAATGAAACTAGGGGGCTTAATCATTTGAGAACTCCAAAATTTGTGAGATCCGTGAGAATTTCTACTTCAATGTTTTGTTTTACATGATTTTTTTTCCAGTCCACGGATAGTATTTAATGTATTGACTAACATATATTTGTTTCACGATGTATTTGTATCATATGTATTCATTCGGTTGTGAAACTCTTTTACGAGTACTTTTTGTTTCACAAACATGTCAAAAGTGTTCACGAGTACGTGTGAAACAAACACATTGTGAAACACATATATGTTGATCAACGTCTAAATCCTAGTCTTAGATGAAAAAAATCATATGAAATAACACATGATGCACAAGTTCTCAAGGTTATCACAATTTCATGGGTTCTCAAAAGAAGGATCCCCATGAAACTAGTAATTAGTAAAGTATGTGTATTATAATAACATAGTATCAAAACCTTTGTGCTTCTGCATACTGGCTGCTTCATAGTCAGTTCCGTTGGTTTCTTGATCTCCTAGCTCTGCTAAATGCTTTTTCAAACACCATGTTTAAGTTCTCTAGCATTCAGATGGGTGGGTTCCAAGAACAATGAACCTTTAATATTTTGAACATCTAGCCTCCACATTTGACTCCTTGTAATGTATTCATGCCCCCAACTAAAAGATTTGTACACATGCTTTCTTTTGTAACACATGGTGTTCACATCTTGTTTTTGTTGTTGTATGGTATGTGGGTGGAAATAATTGTTAGTATTATGTCTCTTATGTTGCTTGCTTGATCAGAGAACCTGCTCCTTAACAATACATGAGCAAAATTCAAAGATTGACATGTGCTAAAAAATTTGATGAATTGTTGGGAATTTTTTTGATGATGATATAGTTGATGTAATGTTGGCCTTGTGTTTTCAGCTACTGAATGGGTCAAAGGAAAACAGATGGAAGAGGTGCTGACCATCAAGAACACGTGAGTTTTATTCTCTTTTGTACTTCTTTTGTATGATTGTTCTAACTAATACTTTTTGCTTCTCTTGCATTGCTCTGTTGAAGTGTATTTTGTGTACTTAACTAATACTCAATTTACTCGTAAATCTATGCTACACTGTTGTCTAGAAAACTTTGCAGCTAATTAGGATTTCTGGTCATTTTTTTAAGTGTGTACCAAGACTTGGTGCATGCATCATCATTATTGTCTTAGCTTGTGATGCAGAATTTTTATGATATCTGATATATTTAAGGTAGTAAAGGAGCATTTTTCTTACTATGAAGATTCCTAAAATGTATAATACAGATTTACCCATAGGTCTAAACTATTTAACCGAATGAAGTTCTAGTTTTCACTTACTCCATCACGCCTCAAGTTGGATCATGGATATCATCATTGCCAATTTGCCAAACATTACAAGATCAAATAAGCATGGAATTAAAAAATATATCATAAATTGTAGACATTGTGCTCTTTCCCTTTCTGAGTAATCATGGCACATGGCACAGACAATGGCACAAACGCAAAATTGAGTTGTGGCGCTTGCTATTTTATGGGCTTATGTTGATATGTTTTGGACTCTACCTTGAGCGAGTTTTTTTTATGGATTAGGTTTTATATATTCAAAGAGATTCAGCCACGCTTCCAGATTTCTTTGCCAAAATTTAATGTATTTTGTTTGACTAAAACTCTTTTACGGTATACGACACTTCGTAAAAAGTTCATATCTTTCTGGTATATGACACTTTTGTTTATAGTATCATTACCAATTTACCACTTTCCTTGGATTCAATATAAAGACGCTGGATGGAGGAATCAAGCCTATTTCTTTTTTCCTCTTTACCAATGCAATAACCGCTATATCAAATAACTGTCATGGTGCAATTTCAAAAAGCGACCATGTTAATTGCTTAGTTGTATAAATGTGTATCTTGTGTGTTGTGATAATGCAATCCCGACCGTATCACCATACGATTGCTATGACCTATAAGTTGTTCTTTGATATTCAATTGTCAAGGCTGGTGATGAAAATTGTTGATAAGATTGATGATTTCTTCTTGATATTGGTATTCTTTTCTCCTCTTCGACCATCGAGTCTGTTCTTTGATGCATCTCTTTCTAGATGTGTATTAAATTACCGCATGTGTACAAGCAGTGTATAACACATGTAGATCATAGAGAGATGATGACCTAAGTACTAAACCGCTACAAATCATGAACTAGCTATGTGGATAATAATCATGATGGTGAACTCAATGGTAGAGTACTCGGTTTTTAAGTGCGGCTAGGATCTTTTACGCATTTAGATGAAGCGAGGGATTCGTTAATAACGAACCAAAAATTAGACCTATGGACAATAAAATAAGAAGATGAATAAAAAGGAAAGAAATTTAACTTCTTACGAGCTACGGAAATTAATTAGCTTCGACATTACATTAGGAGTAAGCAATGTCGAACAGATCCATTGAGGTGATGATTCATCTTGCGAGGACAATTAAAACCCTCTTTCAATATGCAATAAGTCTTCCCAATTCATATCTTCATTTACTTCCGTAAAAAACAGTTAAAAAGGAGCATTAAGATGTGATAAACATTTACCTGATTACCGTTTTTACCTATTTACATTTTGAAATCTAGAATAGTTGACTGATCGCTCAAGAATCAAAATCATACTTTTGTTCTCAGTTTGCTGTATATAGGTAATATGATTACTGAACAACTGGCATCTTGTCATGTCCCAACTTTAGTTGGTGATGAGCCATAAAACTGATCAACCGATAACTAAATGTTAAAACCGATTAGTCGAATCCTCATACAAATATGGTCACATTATTCTACACCACTGTAAACTAAAAAGGGACTTCTAGTAAACAACTGACCAAACAAAATGATAAAAGAACATGAAACAACACTTCCTACATGGACATAGATCGATCATACAAGAATATTCAACAATAATGACCCAAAATGTACGTTCATACAATCATACGTTCAAAGTCCACCAGGATTACAAATCTCATTTATATAGCATGATGGTCATTTAATCATATAATATCAAGGTTCCATAAATAGATAAACTTGTTGATGGGTACATTAAGCGATAACCAAGCAAGATCTTCAATGAACTTCAAAGCTTCAACGTCACTTTCATATAATTTGTTTCTCAAAATGTGGAGAATTACAACCACAGTATGAAGAACAAAGCTAATGAAGAAGAAGGGTGTAACACCCCCGTTCCATGTGGTTAAAGACGAAAGATGCCACAATTGATTTAAAAAAAAAACAATATAACACATTATATAAAACAAAACAGCTAATATAATTTACCAAAAGATAATTACATAACCACAAACGGAGATAACGTGTATCAAAATGCGGTCCCAAAATATAAGTATATATACATTAGTCATCAGAAGTTCAACAAAAGTATGTCCTAGTGGGTTATCTTCAGTATTGTCATCTCCGTAGCTCTCATCCAAAATCCCTGCTAAGTTATGTACCTGCTGAGGACAAAGAAAATCTCGGTTAAGCTTAATGCTCAATGAACGGATAATAATAACTAAACCATGAATATGAGATAACAAGTTCAAAAGCAATATATAACGTTAAGTGATAATCCAAAAGAAAGTCAAAATGCCCCGAAGGCATGACAAGGGTCTAAAGACCAAACCGCATCACTAGGATGCATTGTTCCCAAAGGATGATTAGTCCGTTCGGGCATGAGTGAGGAAAGGGGTGTGAGCACAACACAACAATCCTCTCCGTGAATTTAACCACGACCACAATTTATTATCCGATAACGGTTCCTAGGATCGATTCATATGCCCTCTATTTGACCGGTATATTAGCAAGTCCGCTTTTAAGGACTATATATAATTGAGGACACCCATGATAGTTTTTGTCACCATGGAAGCATCTCAATATCGGTGCTCCCAATATTGAGTCTATAGTACGAGTTCACAGTAGATACAATCTAACAAGTCAAGTGATCAAGTGATTCATGTTCCAAATAAGAATATAAGTCATAGTTCAATTGGAAACAAAGTTCAATAACATTTAATAATCATAAAAGAAATTTGGAACCAATTATTCGGAATTTATCACTATTTATCAGGATTAGGAAGCCTTATGCAAATGGCTATCCCCGTGTCAAATGAGGTATGATATCTGTACCTAAATAGTGGTTGATGGAATACCACGAGTTTAGGATGTTCTTAGTGTTGATACCAATCACCCAAATACATAAACAATTAATCCATTACCACTTACATAACCAACATATATACTTGAATATATAAGACGTAGACCCTTGTTTCTACTTCTTCTTACATCTATAATAGTCCTAGATAGATTTAGGTTTGCTTGGTATAAGTTTCTCAAATGGTATAAGCCGGATATGCACAAGGTACAAACAACAACTGCAGCTCAAGTTACTGCACATATCAGCTTCTGTATCTCGAAACTTTTGATGTTTTACACATATTTAGAGGCAAAATGAAGCTTTAACTTATAATAAGAGTTGTAGAACGGCTCTTAGGAATCTAAGAGCACAAAATTCACTTGATTTGTAGCAATGACCAATTTTCTATGAATTTAAAAAAAAAACAGAGTGCAATTACCGAGTTCTATATGACCAGTTCTGGAAACTCAAGATTTTGAGCTATTTATAGTGAGAATCAGCTCTTCGTGTAAACTACAAAGATGTAGTAGACATTTCAAGCTTTCCAATGATATATTACACATCTAATTTGGACCAATGAATGATTTTATACGAATTTAGCAAACAAGCTGTAATTGCAGACAGATAGCTTCAATTTTACAACCAAAACAATAGAGTTCTATTCCATTCGATTTGCTAATAACACCAATGTTTATCCTCATTCTAATTGACCTTTACTTTAACCTCATATATACAATTCACGATGTGAGACCTATAATTAATTAAAACCTCAAAGTTTTTACCAAGAGATTAACATATCTTGATTCCAATGATGATTTCAACTTCAAACAAGCTTGAATATCTTCAATCTCCTTACAATTTCAAGCCTAGACAGAATTTCAAACCCATGTATTGAAACATTAACCTAATTAGAATTTCAACTTAGGAAAGATTATACACATAGGGTTTTTAAACTTTAATCTTCCAAACTTTCAACCAATTGATGATTTCTTGACTTGATTTTACTTCACCTATGGAGGTTCTTGAGAAAACAAGAGACATCAAATAATACGTATTAGGGTTCTATGATCTTTTTTCCTATAATTTTGGGGTATTTATATTTTCAAAATTTTCCATTTTGGCCCCTCAAGTCTAGTTTTTCAACTTTGTATCCTATTAGGACTTCAACTTGATATTTTAAGTTGAGTTTAGTTTCATTTTGTACGTGTGTGGCCCCTTGTATGGTAATCCATCACAATTAAGTCCGAGGTACAAGTCGGTAAGCATAGGGTACAAACACGTTATGCACAGTTCTTCCCAAAGTTCACTTAACACAACTTATACAAATTAACGGAACACGGGTATTATAAAGGGAGATGGTAGAAATCAGATTTCTGGGGAGAGAATTATCTAACTTCTCAGTCTTATAAAATATACCCAAAATGCATGGAAAAACAATCCAAGCATGGGAGGGTATATCAAGTTCCTTACAAAAGTTATCATTAAGAGTACCACAGGGAAAGGTCCTAGCAGTATTATAGTAAGAAAAGTACAAAGTTGGGGGTTAAAATACAAGCAAAGTCCAGAAGAAGGAAATTACAGATCTGCCTTCTCGTGGTGTGCGGTCCGAGCTATTTTGCTTTCATGTTCGGCATTGTCCGTGCCAAACCGACCGTCGGTGCATGACCATGCAACTTTTCTTCTGATTTTGGAGCGGTCTGTGCCAATGCTTCTGCCCATCTTGCATGACTCTGCTGTTTTCCTTCTTGATTTGGCATGATTCATGCCACTCTTAACCATTTCTCCTTACTTCATCATAACACACGTCTCTTTTTTTCTTGCCCTTCTTTCTTCCTTCTTTCTTTCTGGTTGCCTCTCAAACTTTTTCATCTGACCAACCACCATTTCTGTATGAATTACCTATGAATTCAATAAAACCGTTCATTTTCTGAAACGTGACGTAACCATGATAGAAATGATGGATGCGAGGAAATTACACCTAAATATACACAGATTAATGGAAACTGGAATGCAAAATGATGAATTTATCACTAAAATGCATCCAAACATAACGACTTAACACTACTTCTGAAAAATTGGGTTTCCTATAGCTCCGAGACCTTAAAATTTGAATCCATGTTCATTTTCTAGACTGGAGACTAGTTTCTTGGGTGGTAGAATGACTAAGTTTTGGTCACTGGTTTGCAATTCTGGAACTAGGGAGGTTTTCTTAATTTCTCCATTTCTCTAATTTGACTATTATATACTTTTACGATTTTTATATGTATACATAAATAACGAATGACTATATTATAACATATACATGCATACATACATAGGGGCTGGTTCAAATAAGGAGGTAAATTATCTTGAGAAGGTAAGAAGAGAAGGCTCATATCATCATATGTGAATCGATTGAAAAAATCTGGAAAAATCTTTGAAAATGCACATGTGAACAGATGTTATAGATTATCCATATGGGTTCAAATAAGCATCTTTAAATCGATTTTTTTAATGATTCACATATGAACCTTGTCTTAATCTTCCTTTATTAGCTTTTCACGATATTTAGACTTCTTACTTGAACCTCTCACTACATATATACATATATATACATATATACATATATATACATATATACATATATATACATATATATATATATATACATATATATACATATATATATATACATATATATACATATATATACATATATATACATATATATACATATATATATATATATATAGTATAAACCGTGTATTCATCTATGTAAATGTTCGTTTAGACACTTAGGTCTAGGTAACTTCACCAGCTAGCCCCATTTAATGCCTTTTAGAACATTGGGAAAAGAGACTACAAGTGTGGTTGTCACAGTGAGTGAGGGAGGGATGGAGAAAGAAAGGTCTTGTAAGTTGTGATTTCTGATGTGCAAGAGGAATAACAGAGAAGAGCAACTAAATGTTTTTTTTAAGGTCATACTACTATTTGTTGTGTGTGGTTAGTAAAATATTCAACAAATTTACCCAATATTAACTTGCCCCATCATAATAACCTGGCCTCTTTATTCTCTGCTCCATGCTATGCACCGTATTTCAATCCCCTTATATTTCTAACCGTCATCTTCTTAGGCTTGGTGATCCTCAAGCCACAAAAAAACTGATGCTTTTGCCATATATATATATATATATATATATAGGTATTTGATAAAAGGGAAAGGCTGATTAGGAAGTCGATCACCTGTAGTCTTAAGTCTTTTCAAGGAACTTGTGTGTAGGTTTAGTTCAATATGCCATTAGGAAAGGGTGGCAAATTTCTACAGTTGTTACTCTTAAATTGTCATCCACGCATTTTTGTTTTTCTTTATTTGTATGTATGTGGATTGGTGGTTAGAGTAAATGGATTTAAACTTGAATTGGTAGTTGATAAATGTTGATGTTGCAGAGAAATTGCAAAACACCTGTCTCTTCCTCCTGTGAAACTCCACTGCAGCATGCTTGCAGAGGATGCCATCAAGGCAGCAGTGAAAGATTACGAGACTAAACGTGGTAAATCGGTTGAAACTGCTTCTTCCACGACTGTCAAGGCTTAATCTTTTCGTTCCCTTTTTACTTCTTCTTAGTGTGATACGGAGGAGATATATGTATGTAAGGTAAACGAAATGGAAGACGAAGCTTCAACCGTTAATTTTCTGTAGATGAGATTGTGGATATCTGAATAAGGAAAAGGATTATGTTTGTTATTCTTATCTGGTGATTGTTGTTGTATCAATTACATAAACCATATAATTTTATTATATATTTCCACCTGTGAATTAGAAAGAAAGAAAGAGTAAACTATGGTGGTTTTCGTTACCACAGCTCATGCTTAGTGCTTTTACGTATTTATGATATGGAATGGAATGGAATGATTTAAGATTCAAATATGATTTTTTTTTGTTTATCACCACCACCGTTGGTCACCTCCACCTCCCTCTTCTACTACAAAAATCTCCACCACTTCCACAACCACCATCGGTCCACCTATTGCCATCGTTTATTCCACCACTGTAGGCCACCTCACCTCACCATAAGCACTACCATCGCCTACCATTACGACTGCCCACCACAACTACTACCTCCACTACATTAGCCACAACTACCTCCTCCATCATTGTCGACTTTTATCACTATCACTGTTTACCATCTTCATGTCCTCCACAACCAGGTTTTAAATGGATAGGGAGTTCCACGATTGGAGCATGTAATCAAAACAATTTTGTTTGAAGTTCTGTTTTTTGTTAGAGGAATCCTTAATTGAATAGTTGTAAATAGCCTCGGGGCCATGGAACAAAGGAGTATCCTGGACCTAAACGATCAATTGCAAGCGAGCGATCTACTTCCTTTTTGCGTCGTCCACCAACCACACTGGCATTACCTCCAAAGCCACCATTAGCCACCGACCACCACCATTAATACCGTCGGTCATCACCACCTCTACCTCCATCACCACCACTACTTCCACTACATTGGTCACAACTACTTCCCCCCCATTGTCGACCTCCACCACCATTACTATCTACCATCTTCACGTCCCTTGTAATCGTGTTTTTTCAAACTACCATCAATTACATCAAATTTTCATTCAAATATAGTACTATTATATATGTATGTATTATGTATATAAAATGTAAAAATGTTCAAAAATTAAACTATTTAATTATTTACTTTATTTGTATTAACTATAACTATTATATGATAATAAAATCATCAAACAACTTTTGACGGCAACTTGTATATTTCTGTCATGTCCGATCCTAGTTGCACCAAACACCAAACATATACTTGTTCTATCCAGTCTCGTCCCGTCTAGCCCCATCTAGTTTTACCCTCTTGTCCAGTCCCATCCAATTATATATGCATACCAAGGACTACCTTAATGAATAAATATAAATAGAGATAAGGTAAAGGACCGGAACCAAAACAAACAACATATTAAAAAAAAGATATATTGTTCTTTAAATAAATGAATGAAAATCAATAACATTCTCATATAACATACTGGGGTCGTTCCAATCTTTCTGGAGGTTTTGTTATACTTGTATCAAAATTATAGATCAATTTTGGATAAGTAAAAAATAAACAAAATATAACAGTTTATACCATAAAGTCCTACAAATTGAAACAATAGAGATGTCTAAAATGACATAGTAAGATACAAAATTTATTTAAATAAAATATTTTCTTCTGACATTGTTGGAAACAAAATCTTCAATGAGTTCTTTTACAATAAACTATCCAATAAGTCATTACATGGAAAGATTAGCATATAAGAGTTTACCAACTACTGTTTAGCTCAAATTCTCATGATAATCTAGCTCGATTCGGAAGCTGAATTCTCCTTAACTCTCAACTTTTGTGCGCGTTTTCAAAGAGTTAGTGATATGAATAATGACAATCAATATCATGATATAGTAGTCAACTAAATTTGCTGGTGAGGCAACTCGTCGGAAAAAAAAAAAGAAGGTGGAAGATTATTAAGAGTCATGATTGATGCTTGGGGCTTTGATGATAGAATCAACCATCAAGAAAACAAAGATAAATGTGACTGGAGATCTCAATCTTCAAATTAAAGACCCAAGAAGCAGGGATTGAGGATTTACAATCGTAATCGGGAATCGGAAAATCTAGTAGAAGAAAGAAAGAATCGGGACATTGGTCTAAATTGCTAACACATTATGATTGCCCAAATGGACTAAAATGAAAGGCAGAAGGTCATAGGAATTAAGTTAAAACATGTGTTAAAAATCAAAATACATATATTGCTGAAATAGTATCTCTCCCCCAAAAAGCATGTTTTTTTTTACCGACGCACAAAGATAATAGATAAAGACTTGAAACATTTTCCTTTTCCTTCACATAAGTCTCAAAACACAAATAAAAAGGGAAAAATACACGAAAATAGCAACCTGTGTAACCGGGTATTCGGTTATAAAAGTTCGGGGTGGTTTTGGAAGGTGATGGTAAGTGGAGGGGTTAAATGTGTTTACTTGCTTTAATAATTTAAAAAGCAATCCCACCACCGCCTTTTTATGGTTTTATATAAAGCATTGAATGAGATATTTAACTTATCTCATTGATGTTGGTGGTAAAAAAAGAAAGGTGAGCTTTTATCTGTGTGTTCTCTTGTGTGGGAAGCAAACAAGCCTGTAAGGGAAACAAGAAACTGATTTTGTGACTATAGTCTGGATATGTATTGCTGTTCATCTTCATTTTTGTGATCATAAGATGAGTTAAATTTATCAACTTTCCTTATTTGGTATTTGAAATTTAAATATATAGTTTTTACATGAGGATGATGATAAATTGTTTCTAGATGCTATTTGTAGCATGATTGTGAGTTTAACTTGTTTAGAAGTTTCCTTATTTGGAAACTGGGTATAGAACTGCATAGTTCCTTATATATGGTTCTATTATGAAATTGTTTTGATGCCATTATTGGCAAAATGGTGGGTTTTAGTCATGATTATATCATGTGTGGAAATAAGGGTGACATATTAAGAGGTGAGTATATTGGGATAAGAGTGACATAATCAATTTCTGGGATAACTTGAGGTTGTCGCATATGTGTGATGCGACAACTTGAGGTTATCGCATATGTGTGATGCGATAACTTGAGGTTATCGCATCCTATTGATAAGATGAAGTGAACACTTGATCAAAAGGACCAGATGGGCTCTGGTTAGTAAGACCAGAGGGCCTCTAGGTGGCCTTGCCTTTGGTTGGCAAGATGGGCTCTAGCTGGTAGGACCAGAGGGACTCTGGTCGGTAAGACTAGAAGCTCTGGTTAGTAAGACCAAAGGGGCTCTGGTTGGTCTTGCCTCTAGTTGGTAAGACCAAATGGGCTCTGGTTAGTCTTGCCTCTGGGCTTTGATGCGATGATGTGTTTGTTGATCACACAAGTGTGATGCGATGTGATGGGTTTTCGCGCCAACGTGTTGTGAGGAAATGGGGTAGTCTCACTCAGTTTGTGTTGATCGCACCAGTGTGATGCGATGAGATGGGTTCCCGCATCAGCATGCTGCGAGGAAATGGGGTTGTCTCACCCAATGTGGTATGAGAAAATTATGGTTTGATTTATATGAAGCATTAAGTTCATGTGTTATGCAATAAATAGGTATTTTGTGGTTTGATGTGGCAAAAGAGAGTTTTTTTAAATATATAATATTTATATATGGCAAATGCAACAAATAAACTCACACACCCTCCTCACCTATGGTGAGGTTTGAACCCCTGACCTCCTAGAAGGCCAAGGACTACGATACCGCTAGGCCAAAACCCTTTGGTAAAGAGAGTTGTTTTGTCAAAACATTGTATATTTGTTATTATTACAAATATGAGTTTGTAAAAAATGATTTAGTGATTTTCACCCTGTAATTGCATCAAAAGGATTTTCTCACTAGACCTCAAGGTCTAACCTTTATTTGTGTTTCAAAAATGTGCATTACAGGTCGGACACAAACAAATGTAAGGGAAAAGAAAAACTGTGAAAAGTCTTATATGCTTACATGGGATGTGCAAGATAACATGCTTATCTGTTGTTTTGAATACTTGTATGCAAGTCTGCATAGGGAATTTTGTGGAAAAAATTTGACAGCTACTTTTGTAATGTGACTTTTAGATATCTGAGATCGAATATGTAAATTTGTATTTTTCTTGATATATGAAATATATGGTAATATACAAATGTGATCTTGGGGTGTTACACAATCTACTTTTATAAAAAATATGTTTATTATAACATTATACTTTCAGTTTTCCTTATTACAACAATGTACTTTCAAAATATATTTTTTATTAGGGCATCATATTTTCAAAAAAATTTCCGTTATAGTATTGGGTAACATTTTAAATTAAATTTTATCTATTATTCCATGTTTATTTGCTACGTTATCGTTCATGTAGGTTATCCACATGTATAATAATGCTGACATGTCATTTCTTATTATAACATTTAACTATCAAAATTACTTTATTATAACATGACCAATTTCTTTTACAAAAGTCTAGAACATAGTATAAAAGAACGGATATTGTTATAACGGATAAATTTTTGAAAATATGATACCCTAATAAAAGTTATTTTAAAAAACTGTAATATAAAAAACTAAAAATATAATACTATAAAAAAATAAGTTGTGATTTCGTACATTTTATCCTCAAGATCCCTTCCAAAAGTCTAGAACAGAGCGGCCCGTTTCTGTAATTGAGGGCTTCTATTTTAAGTGTGCTGGAAAATTGTTGATTTTACTTGCAAGGTTCTAATTCTGTTGAAAGGATTTTGTGTTAGCGAACTGTTCCTGTTCGTGGATAGGGCCACTGATCAAGGTTGGCACAGACGAACAACCTCCTCAACTTTCCTACTTCTATAATCCTCCTATCCAAATCCAAAATCCAACTGTTCTTATTCTATTCAGCTACTACTTTGTTCGGGTCTGATTCGATTGTATTTCGTTACTTCACCCAAAACTGGTGTCTGGGTACTACTTCTTTCATTTAAGACCACCGATCTGGTTCCGAAGTTCATTATCACTCCATATGAAAATGAAAATTCTTTCACTTGCGTTAATGGTGATCACTTAAAAGCCTCACCGTTTGTTGGGTTTGTCTTGAATGTTATACGAAAATAAAAGGGTAAAGTGATTTTCAGTAAATCACTTGATGAAAATGCGAAAAAGTCTATTTCAGGCGCTCATTATTACAATTATTAGCTGAAAATTTAATTATATCGTTAATTTCCATGTGGGTTTGATGAATTGTGTTATTATATAATTGAACATCCATTGATTGTTGTTTGTTCTTTTGGTTTTGCTTTTCTGTGCAAATTTGTTGATAATTTATTTCTGACTTGTCTGCTTATGAAATGAAGTAATGGAGGAATCCAATTTTGACATTGACCTGTTTAGGAGGTGGTTAGGTGGAGAGAGTGATAGCATTGAATTTAGCGATGGATGGGTTAAGAAAGGACCAATCACTAGTAGGAGCTACTGACAATATAAATGAAGAAACCAACAACATAACTCAGAAAGTTATCTCAGAAGGAGGAGAAGAGACGATGGTTCCACCAGTTGGAAATTCGATTCACAGGTCGAGTTCACGGCCACAGCTTGATCTTAGTGGTGCAGCCATTCAAGGGAATTTCGAAGAGAGAGACCCCACGATTCTGTTGCCTAATCAATCTGATGATATATCCCATTTGGCATTGGACATTGGAGGTGATATTTGTTCTTCTAATGTGGGGTTTAGTGATAGTTCTTAAAAGATTGCTCTTGGGTATTTCTGAGTTCTTTTTGACAATTTTCTTGCTATTTTTTTTTTAAATTCATGTGGAGATGCTTCTTTCAATTCTTCATTTTTAAGTTAATATGGGCAAGCTTTTTAATTGCAATTAGCAAACATATCTAATGTCAACAATTGGTACCAGGCTCTCTCATCAAGTTAGTTTATTTTTCAAGACACGAGGATCGTGTAGTTAATGACAAGAGGAAGAAGTCTGCAAAGGAGAGATTTGGTGTTAGCAATGGTAACATCAGGAGGACTTTTCCAATCCTCGGAGGGAGGCTGCATTTTGTCAAGTTTGAAACTGCTAAAATTAATGAATGTTTAGAATTCATCCACTCGAAGCAACTTCACAGAGGAGGTGCAACTCTTTTATTGCTAGCTTAGAACATTGTTTTGTCATAAGATACATATTGATTTTCCAAGCCAGTGCTTGTATTTAATTGACTTATACTTCACATTTCTAATCTGACTTCCATTCTCTATCATGTATGAAATGGATACCTGTCCTGTCAACCTCCAATTCCAGACAATGACAACGCAGTAATCAAGGTATACACGTTCTTTTTTCATTGATTTTAATGTTTACATGTTCATATTTTTCCCGAGCTATGATCATTCTACTTATGTGTCTTTGCTTGTCTTACAATACCAAAACTTTGCTACCATGCCCCATGATTTATTGCTGAACCAATCATCTTTGAAAGAACAATAAGAACTTTTATATATGCGGGTACTAGTTATGATTGAACCTCCTTTCTTCGTTAGCATGGCCTTGAACACAGAAACTTCAGCTAGTTGAACTTGAACACTTAATTTTTGTATTTATCGACTTATTAGAATGTTTGAGAAGGCTACAGGTGGTGGGGCATACAAGTTTGCTGATCTATTCAAAGAGAAACTTGGAGTTAGCATTGAAAAAGAAGATGAGATGGATTGTCTTGTAGCGGGTGCAAATTTTTTGCTAAAGGTGCTATTCTAATTTTTTTCTGCACCAATTTATTTGTCAAGTCCATAAATATGTGGATTAGGTTTAATAAACTGAACTTTGTGTAGGCGATTCGCCATGAAGCCTTCACCCATAAGGAAGGTCATAAAGAGTTTGTGCAGATAGACCATAATGATTTGTACCCATATCTTCTTGTTAATATCGGATCTGGTGTCAGCATGATAAAGGTACCATATCTTTATGCTTTTTTGTCATTCTTTTGAACTTTTTTTATTTAGTGCTTCAGTGTGGATAGTTTAAATTTTGCATTTATGTAGGTTGATGGAGATGGGAAGTTTCAGCGGGTTAGTGGGACAAATGTAGGTGGCGGTACATACTGGGGGTTAGGGAGGCTGTTAACCAAGTGCAAGAGGTTACCCTTTATCTTCTGACCATTTTGGTACTTATCTTTCGGTTTCCGCTTTGATGGTTCTTATAAAATAATGGGTTATTACAGTTTTGATGAACTGCTGGAGTTAAGTCAAAGGGGAGATAATAGCTCCATAGATATGCTTGTCGGTGACATTTATGGGGGCTTGGATTACTCAAAGGTAAACTGGTTGCAATATGCAATTAAATAGATATTTATGTTATGTCTTTCTAAGCAACTCATATTTGCAAAAAGTTTATGACTTATCACGCTTTTAACATAATTATCCGTGATCCCTTATATGATCTCAGATTGGACTTTCTGCATCAACAATTGCTTCCAGTTTTGGCAAGGCGATTTCTGAGAACAAGGAAATCGAAGACTACAGACCTGAAGACATTTCTCTATCTCTCCTTCGTATGATTTCTTACAATATAGGCCAGGTATGATGTAATGATGTATCATGATGTTTTAGTATGAAAGATACGATGTGCCTTACATACTTTAGCATTATGAGATTTAATTTTATTAATGTGTAAACAAGAATATGACATACTTATAAGAACATATTCTGTTAAACACCTCATTTCTTCTACAAAGAGAGGCAATCAATAGTCATTGTCTTTGTGTCTCACAACGATCCTCCCGGCTTTCTCCAAGAAAAGTGGAAGAATATTTAATCCCCCCTTCAGGTGCTACTAATTAAGTAGAGTAAATTCAGTTAGCTCACCACCTTATGCTGCTCGTTTTGATGTTGGAATTTGCATACTAACCTCACAGCTTAGTTGTCAATTATTGCTGTATAGGACAATTTGAAGGAGATGATTTTACATGTGATGGAATCATAAATATTTGTGATAAATATGCTTTTAATGTTCTAGGAACATTGATTGGTAACTTTTTATGATGCTGTTATCAGCTGGGTCATGGTTCTGTTTCTGATCTGATTTCTAAAGCAGCGTAACTTTATATTATTTATACCCATTTTTCTTTTTATATGAGTTGTATATCAGATTCCCAAGTTGTATTTGCTTTTCATGATTGCTCAAATTTACTCTTTACTAATGCATATGCTCACATGTGTGCCAATTTATATAATGTACCTAATGTAGAGAAGTTACTGAACTTAAGGGGCCGTTTACCAAACGCTTACCCGGTAAGCGCTTACCGATAAAATTCAACACCATCACTTACTTACCAGGTAAGATTTTAGTCTAACAAAATGACAGCGTATGCAACAATTTACCAGGTAAGCGATAACCATGATAAGAATCATCGCCTTCACGTTACCGGGTAAGACTCTTGGTCCTTGCCTCGTTCTTACCGGGTAAGATTCTTGGTCTTTACCATGTTCATCTGGTAACGCAATATGACTTGGTAAGCGCTTACCCGGGTAAGTGTTTGGTAAACGGCCCCTTAAGTCTACAGAACCTTCTAATAGAATCAGTTTTCCTTTCCATAAAGATAATGAAATTGATTACCAACAGTTGTAGTTCAAGAGAAAATGGGCAGTGAAATGACTCTGAGAAATAACTTCAGACACTGACAATAGTATCTTGAATTCACCATAGAAGTAAACCTGTGTGTTTTTGTTCTTATTTTCTGGTGATAAACTTCAGTTCTTTATTGTTTTCTTTCTTGTTAGTGGAAATAACAGAAAGAGCATGATTAAGGAGGTTTTCTTTTATAATTTAGTGCTCATCATGGATCTGATTTCAACTTTAATTTCTATAGATATCTTATTTAACTGCGTTGCAACTTGGAATTAAGCGGATATTTTTTGGAGGATTTTTCATAAGAGGACATGCTTATACCATGGACACAATTTCATTTGCAATCCAATTTTGGTAAGGATTTACTCCTATCTTATCTTTTTAAGCTGGGGAATTATTTCCATTACAATTGCATTCAAGTTTTATCAGCCAAAGCTTTAGGAAATCTCTTCCTATATGCTTTCATGCTTCTGTTAATTGCTTACCTGAATTCCTGATAATTATGCATCACTTAATGATGAATATTTTGACCTTGTTCTTTTTTTAGGTCAAAAGGAGGAGCGCAAGCTATGTTTTTACGTCATGAAGGGTTTTTAGGAGCTTTAGGTGCATTTATGAGTTATGAGAAGCATGGATTAGATGACTTGATGGTTCACCAGCTGGTTGAAAGATTTCCAATGGGTGCTCCGTACACTGGAGGAAAGATTCATGGTCCTCCACTTGGGGATTTAAATGAGAAGGCAAGTATATGGTCAAAAAACATAATATGAGTTATATAATCAACCGCCTGCTGGAAATATTTTTTTATAGTCAACATGGGTAGTAGTCTTTACTGGGATTGGCTTTGAGTCTTAAGCACGGCATACATTATTGGACTCATTCTCTAGCCAGTTAAATTTTCTTGGTTGGTTGGTGACTTAATATAGTGCAGAATGAATTGTGATTTATAATAAACATCCTGTATCGAGCTTGATGCAGATTGATTAACTTAAACTTGATGCAAACCATTTCATTAATGTCCTCATATGTGAGCATGTGTTCATGGATTTTGAAGGATGGATACAAGGTCCAGATCTTGTCTGTAGCAATCAGAAAGGGACAGTTGTGTAACTTGATTAGTGATTTCATCTTGTACCTGTTCTTAATATATATATATCTCTTTTGTAATTTTATTCTCTTTATAATTCATGCCTTAACTGTAATGATCAAACTGGAACGATCTTGTATGGGTTTTGAATGAATTTGTGTTGTAATATAGTTTGCTGCGTATTCATTTCTTCGAATAAATTGTGTAGAGTTATTTATTTTCCAGCCGTAATTGTACAATTTATGTACTATTGGACGCATAAGAAATTTTACAGATGAAATATAAATTCTTTTGCAACTAGAACAATGTGACCCTGTTGTTATGCCGAAAACAAATGTTATCTTACATCCATTTACATGATGATGAACTGTAAAACGAAATGGTTTTAAGTGGGCGGGTGCTCTTTGTAACAAGTTCTATATACAGTCCAATATTAAAAGAAGAAAATGGTAACTTGCTTCCCTCAAAAGAGGATATGTTCAATAAGTTATGGAAGTCTTTGTATGTAGCATTCTTTGTGCATTTTCAGAAGTGACGGTTTCTGTAATATACCAGCCGAAAGATTAAAATGCTGTAATTGTTTTCTATCATGTGGCTATGTTAGTTTTCGAATCAATGTGCCATTTCATGTTATGTAAATCTTGAACTAATTCGACTGGATTTGGATTTTTGAGTTGCATAATCCTTTTGATCTAGGTTCATGTTGTTCATGTATTCGTTATCTTTTGATATATGTGTTTCTCTAGATTTTGCATGCTCTCTTAAGCTTATATAGAATATGAGACATTATGCTTATTCTTTTAGAGCATTACTGGAGAGTACTTTATTTGACATAGTATTTTATCTGTAACTTATTGCAGATATCATGGATGGAGAAGTTTGTACGGAAAGGAATTAAAATTACTGCTCCTGTTCCAACGGCTTCTCCAAGAACTACTGGTTTAGGTGGCTTTGAGGCGCCATCATCGAAAGGAGACACCCTACGTTGTGATGAAAGTAATTTAAATGTTGGTGTCCTTCATCTGGTGCCTTCTTTAGAAGTGTTCCCGTTGTTGGCTGACCCTAAAACGTATGCAAATTACCGTCACTTGGTCTGTTTATATGTTCAGTTGCTGCCATCCCCCTTAAGAGATTTTTTCTTAATATGGAAAAGTTATTAAAGTCTTTGATGTTATTGACACATGAATAGTCACAAATCAGTATAGACATGCTTTCAAGTTTTCAACAAGGTTTTTATTTATCATCAGACAACCTAACTTTTGGTTAAAGAATTTTGTATTTTATAGACATCTTATAACCCTACAATGATAGAGGTAAAACAACTTGATGATGAAAAACGAATTGTGGCTCGTTTTAGTGGAGAAGTATAAGGCAAGTGGGCAACCCTGATGCACTAGGGCTCCTTGTCTTTGCTACGGTTGGGTATGGAAGTCTTGGCCCTTCGTTAAATATTGCGAAGAGGATGCTTTCTCAACTCATTTGGACCCTCAGGCCACAAGTGCGCGTTACTCCAATGCTCCCTGAAACACATATAAATTAGGACGTAGTTCTTTGAATGTTTAACATTTAATCTGGCTCATTTATTTCAAGATAAAATAGAGGTAATTTGGCCCGTGATTGATGCTGTTATGTTGCTATGTTAACAGGTATGAACCGAACACTATTGATCTTGCTGATCCCAATGAACTTGAGTAAGTTTCAAGTTTTTATATGGGTCAAGGAGGTATTTGTTGCTTATGTTGGATCTCTATCTTGTTGTAGATATTGGTTCACAGTGTTGTCTGAGCATTTACCGGACCTTGTTGATAAGGTAAACACGATCTTTTCTGTGTCCCTTTTTTTGGGCTTGTGGTGGGTTAGAGTAGAGATATTTTTTGGACGGTTGGCGGATCGGATATGTGTATGCCAATTACAAATGTTTAACCATTTTCAACTTGTTGAAAATATTGTGCTCTTCTTTGACCTAATTTGAGATTGTGCTTCAAACCATGTGATCTTTATATTATGATAACCAAAAGGCCTATTATTCTACTCTTAAAGTTGTTTGGAATATGCAGGCAGTGGCCAGTGAAGGTGGAACAGATGATGCTAGAAGAAGGGGCGATGCTTTTGCTCGTGCATTTTCGGCCCATTTGGCAAGGTACATACGCACAATGTCTTCCGGGAAATGTGTGTGTGTTTATGAATGTTAACACACCCCCATAGTTGCCCATCGTGTCTTTCTCATAGTTGCCAAAAACGTATGGTTAACAACTTGAATCTTACAGTTGAAGAAAACAATGTGAATCCCATTAGCAAATCAGAATCCTATCTGAATACTGAATAGCCGTTGTATCAAATAAAATGGTAGTATATGGATCTATAAAGCCACACTACAGTTTACCTTATTTATGTTCCTTTTGTGGATATGTGTGTGGAATTTATCGACCCAAAGCTTTATATCTAGCTACCTAAATTAATTGTTCTATTTTTTTGGTGAAGTTGTTAGGAACTGCTAACTGGACATGACCAATTCTTATATATAATTATATTTGGTGTATACATAGCTAGAAAGTCCACTTTTTTTTTATTAACCTGGATATCCAACCCGCTATGCGAGTTGACTAATCCCAGGGTGACCACCTGCTTTTGCAGATAGCCCGGAGTCACCGCATTTGAACCTCCGTGGCCACAAGGGGATTTTTATTCCTCCTTGGATTTGAACCTGGGACCTCCTGGTACTTTTGACCTTTGGAGCCAAACTCAAACCAATCAGGCACCACCCTTGTGGTTGAAAGTTCACTTGTATGTTTTGTATTCATGTCATATAATCGTTTCAGAAAAAGTTGAAGCTTATTCAAGACCCCATTCACAGTTTTTGATTAATGATATCTGTATAGGGAGTTTGATTGATTCATGAATTGGCAACTGTGGCTTCTGCAAGTACTATCCGTCTTGTGTGGACGCACAAATCACACTACCAATAGATGATAAATAACACTGTAAAGTGTGGCGCTCACCTTACGTGTTGTTTGTGAAATTAGAATGTTTGGGAATGCTACAACAAACAAGGCAAATTTTTAAAGTTCCCACCTTTTTTTATTTCTGACTTCAACGGCTACATCTTTTGGCATAATTATGATTGATACTTGTAAGTAACTCGTTAATCAATTGCAGGTTAATGGAGGAGCCAGCTGCTTACGGGAAATTAAGCCTGGCCAATCTTCTCGAGTTGAGAGAAGAATGCTTGAGAGAATTCAACTTTTTTGACGCATATAGTACAATAAAACATAGGTGATATGGCGTAGCATGTTTCGTTTTTCTTTAAACCCATATGAGATTTCATTGTTTTTAGAAATTTGTTTCACTCATCACCCCTGAAAGTTCATTTGGATTCTTTGGCAGAGAGAATGAGGCATCACTTGCTGTTTTACCCGACCTTCTGATGGAGCTTGATGGTATGAGTGAGGTATGGTTGCAGTCCATCATGTCACTAAGATCCGGGTTGGTTTGTAGGATTGGAATGGATTTGGAGGGATTTGTAATTGAACTCCAATCCAGTCCCATGTTTGGTTTGAAGGATTTCATGGATTTAAAATCCGGTTACAAACATAGGATTTTGAAATCCCATGGGTGTTGTTGGTATTTCATGGGATTTTGTTGTATTTATATATAATAATGTTTTAAAATATGGTAAAAACATTTGTTTTGTAAATTAATAAAAAAGTAATTTAATTATTTTATAATTTGGTTTTGTAAATAATGGAATTCAATTCCATTTCAAATTCTACAAACCAACCGCACCAATATGTTCAAATCCCTCCGATTCCAAATCCTTTCCACAAAATCCAAATCCCTCGAAACAATTCCATCAAACCAAACTCCCCCGTAAGATAAGTCTGAAATGGGAGGCATCTTTATGTCTCGCGTGATGCTAACATTCTTTCATTTTCAGGAAACACGACTCCTTACGTTAATAGAAGGTGTTCTTGCTGCAAACATCTTTGATTGGGGATCTCGTGCATGTGTTGATCTTTATCACAAAGGGACAATCATTGAAATCTATAGAATGAGTCGCAAAAAGATGCAAAGGCCTTGGAGGGTGAGTGGATTAAAATATCAGATCGATAGAGAGAAAGAAAAACATATTGTTTTGTAGATGGTCTATGACAAATGACAAAACCTTTTTGCATGTATATTAGGTGGATGATTTTGATGCATTTAAGGAGAGAATGGGTTTTGGAGACAAGAAACATCAACGTCATAAACGAGCCTTGCTCTTTGTGGACAACTCGGGTGCTGATGTTGTTTTAGGAATGCTTCCCCTGGCTCGAGAACTTCTACGCCGTGGAACTGAAGTGAGTCCATGCTTTTTGAATGTCGAAAAATATAGGACCTTGCTTCAAAAGGCCCAGACCATCCAAGCCCGTGTTTAGTAAGAAAAAGAAGCCCGGGCTATTCCAGTCCTGAGCCTGGTCAGGCTTTTTGTGTGAAAATGGGACTGGTCGGGCTTTTTCAGGCTGGGTTTTCCGGGTTTTACAGGCCTGGGATTTGGGCTTTTTGAGCATTTACTACATAATGTAGAAGAAAAGGCGACATAAACACCCATATAACATTACAGCTTGTTTACGGACATTTTTGCAGGTTGTGCTTGTTGCAAACTCCCTTCCAGCACTAAATGATGTTACTGCAATGGAGCTTCCAGAAATCGTTGCCGAGGCTGCCAAGGTTTCATGAAACCGTTTTATATTCTTGATCAATAATATTATTTTATTCGAATCCTTATCACACATCTTCCACTCTATAAAGAAGTCTAAGTTTGACATCTGTGGTCAAACATGATAAGTTCTAACTTCAAAGTCGATATGAATAAATACTACAAAATTGTAGAATAGACATGCATCTTGATGCATAGATCAATGACAATATTTGTGTTCTTGCGGTGGATAAATGATCCTCTTTGGCTACTTGATAAACCCATTATAAATCTCACAACTTTTTTGCTGAATCTTTTGAATCATCAAAGGTGCTCGGTGTTCTAATAATAATAATATAGCAATGATTGTACCGCAGCACTGTGACATTCTTCGTGGAGCTGCTGAAGCTGGCGGCCTACTTATGGATGCAATGATCAATATCCAAGACAGTCCAAGGGAGAAGTCATCTTCTACTCCTTTAATGGTGGTCGAAAATGGTTGTGGGAGCCCATGCATCGACTTGAGGCAAGTTAGCTCTGAGTTAGCTGCTGCCGCAAAAGATGCTGATTTGGTATGCTGTTTCAATATCCTATATATTTATCTGGTTCTATGCTTCAGCTTGGAATCATTTTGTTTTTGCAACATCTTTTGTTGGACTCCCACATCAGCTAGGCAAGACCATCAAATCTGTATCATATTTTTTCTACATGGGTGCTCTTAGAGAGAGATTCAACGAGGTTTCCTATTGCAAATGAGCATTGGGGTATTATGTTACATGATGGTTTGTTGGTATTACGCAGGTGATTTTGGAAGGGATGGGGCGTGCGTTGCATACCAACTATAATGCTCGGTTTAAATGTGATGCTCTAAAGGTACAACAAAAAAGCCCTTTTCTTGTTTATCAGTCATTTCTTTGATTAGGGTATGATTGAAAGGCGATCTAACTGTTATGACCGATGTTTTATGTATAGCTTGCAATGGTGAAAAATCAACGGTTGGCTGAGAAGTTGATTAAAGGGAATATATACGACTGCGTTTGCAGATACGAGCCAGCTAATTGAAACTTGGAGTGTTTCTTGATGATTGTTGGATCTTGTATCATAAAAGAAAGGAGAAATTAATGTATTAGAATATGTTCAAATCACCAAACACACATAAGTCATGTATCTTTTTAGCTTTTGTGTTCTATTCGTCTGGTGCATTTCTGTCCATTGCCTAGAAACACAGAATCTTGTTCTTTGAAAATAATAATGGAGCACTTTATATTTCGCTTTTTTTATTAACCTGGATATCCAACCCGCTATGCGAGCCGACTAATCCCAGGGCGACCATCTGCTTTGCAGGTAGCCGGGAGTCGGCGCATTTGAACCTCCGTGGCCACAAGAGGATATTTGTAGTTTTCTTTACAATCTTCTTCAATTATATTTCACTTTTTCCGCCTCTAGAAAGTTAAATTTCAAAAACCCAATCGGAGGTATCTTCCTTTCGATACGATGTAATGAGTGAGTGAGTTTGTGTGTTTTTAGAAGCAAAACAGTGGGTTGTACATAGAATTAGAAGTGGAAAATAGGGTACATGGCTAGTGTTATATAAGATAGATTTCATTATATATAACATGTGGGCATTTGGTCTAGTGGTATGATTCTCGCTTTGGGTGCGAGAGGTCCCGAGTTCGATTCTCGGAATGCCCCACTTTTTTAAAATTCAATTTGTATCATATTTACATATTACCCCTCATTTTTTGTTTATTTCAATTTCCGTCCTCCTTGTAATTTTTTTTAAAAGTATATATAATATTTAAATACAACAAATAGAATAAATAAACTCACACATACTCCTCACATTTGGTGAGGTTTAAATCTTTAACCTCTTAGGAAGCCAATGACTCACAAACCGATAGACCAGAGACTTTTTGGTTCCTCCTAATTTGTATGGTTTGTTTTGACCAATACATACATAATTACATATTCAAAGTTTAAATGATGACGATATGCATGATATTTTTATAATTTATATTAAAATAAATTAATCTTTGAATTTTATTTAATCATTTGAGTCCAATCGAATTTTAAAAAGAATATGATGATAATGCAAATAGTTACATGATGGGTTTATAATCAGTTCTTTTTACCCATGGTTTTAGACTTTGTTTTAAGCTCACAATTTCAGTGTTAAATAGTCTACAGTGTTTTTACGTATTTCTAAAACATTTTCGTTATTTCTAATCATAAACTAAGCATATACAATATTCAACTGACATCTGAGGTTGCTATTATTTAGTATATCTCATTTAAAGATTGGATTTTAACACGTACTTAACTTTTATACAAGGGTTGATCTACTTGGACTGATATGGTTGTTCGTGAAATCAAAAAAAGTCAGTGTTAAATGTGTTTTTCAGGTTCTTAATTAAAATGTAAAACTACAGATTTATTACGGGCTAAATCACAAGTTGTTTTTAAATAAAACTATGAACATTAGAACTCGAGGGGTTTATAGAAATAAAAGCCTCACAATCTGATCAAATAGAATCACCAAGTAGAAATTTAAAAGTATATTGTTTAATTTATAGGAGAAGGCTTTCTGAAATAGAAATATTGGTATGCATTTTTTAATGAACTAAGTATTTAATTCGTATTTAATAGATCAAAATAGCGAAAAGATATTCTATATAATTATTTTATAATTAATTTTTTACTTTATATGTATTATATTATAAAACATTTAAAAAAACTTTTAAAAACCATTTTTATGTATGAAGTATTGTTTATTGATGCATATTACTTAAAATTCAAGATTACAAATAATTTTACGTAAGTACAACTTATTAAAGCTTCATTTTTAAATTCATGTAACTAACTGTATATAAACATAATCAAATACAGAATCAACATCTATTTTAAATATAAAAAATCTAAAATATCATTAAGATAATCATTGAGCTCTTTAACTATCATCTTCATAAAAAATTGTATGATTAGACGAAAAATAATTTTATTTTGTTATTAAACCTAAATTAAGTTATCTATACTATATTATAAAGCATTTGACAAAAAACTCTTAAAAACCATTTTTTATGCATGAAGTACTGTTTATTGATGTATATTACTTAAAATTTAAATTACAAGTAAATTGTGTATAAGTACAACTTATTAAAGCTTCATGTTTGATGTTTAAATTCGTGTAACTAACTGTAGATAAACATAATCAAATAGAGGATAAACATTTCATTTTAAATATAAAAATCTATAATATAATTAGGATAATTATTAAGTTCTAACAAAATACTTAACTATTCTTTTTATCCAGAATAAATAACTTCATTATTAATCTTAAATTGAATTATAATAAAAAAAATGAATTAAAAAAAATTACATAAAAAAGAGAAATTTTAAATAGTTAATTTGGTACTGATACCAATATATTTTTTTAAAATTTTTATGATATCTTCATATTTATATTTTATTTAAAAATAAAAACATTATCGTTTTCTCAAAACCACATAAAAACGTATTATAACATCCACTTAGACAAAAAAAAAACGAAATATTAAAATCATAATGTATTTCGCTGACTTGCACGAGTACTCTTTTAATACTAGAAGGGTACTTGTGCAATGCATCGAGACACATCTCAATTCAATGTTTTGTTTTGTTCTTTATCTATATCGATATAAAAAAATTATATGGTTTTAAAAAAGTGATAATGTTTTTATTTTTGAATAAAATATAAATTCTAAAATATCATAAAATTTTAAAAAGAGTATATGGATATTAGTATCAAATTAACTATTTAAAAGTTTTTGTTGTGTGCAATTTCTGCAATTCAAACTTTTATTATAATTTAATTTTACATAACGAAGTAATTTAATTTAAGTTTAATAATATAATTTTTTATAAAGATAATAATTAGTTCCTCTGTTAGAACTCAATGATTATCTTAATTTTATTTTAGATATTTTATATTTAAAATGAGATGCTTATCCTATATTAGATTATGTTTATATGTAGTTATTTATACAAATTCAAACATGAAGCTTTAATAAATTGTATTTATATACGATTTACTTATAATCTTAAATTTTAATTAATATACATCAATAGACAGTACTTTATATATAAAAAATGGTTTTTAAAATATTTTATAATATAATATAAATAATAATAATTTATTTGACAATATACTCTTAAGGAAAAAAATCCCGAATCCAATTCTTTGTCTATATTATAAAGAATGAAACACATTTTTCCATAAAAACCTTAATTAATTAATAAATCAAAACTAACACTTATACATATACATATAGATCTAGAATCATGTGAGACTAAAAGTTTTTGTGAGACCCGTAAGACCAATTTTCAATGCTTTAAATAGATATACAATCTGAATATTGATAATCACAAAATTGTCATGAGACTTCTCAATAATCATAAAATTGTCATCATACAACTTTATACTATTAGATCATTAGCTTATAAAATTGATCAATGAACATATCATTAGTTTATAAAGTTAATCAATGAACAGATCATTAGCTTATAAAATTGATCAATGAACATAAATTGATATTACAGATCTCACGAAAAATCATTGATCTCACGTAAATACAACTCTATATATATAGAGGATAAGAATGAAGAGAAACATGGACAATTTTAAAAAATAGAAAGACAAAGAAACCACCTTCCTAAGCATCCCAAAAATGCCGACTTAATGCATGTGATGTGTCCACTCTCCCACGTAACTCCCAAGGGTACATCGGTAATTTCAAAAAGATAGGTGCTCAATTCCGTGGGGGAGAGGTTTTCTAATTTCTAACCGACCTTTTCCCTCATAAAACTGATGGCCATCGCCACCAGTTTCCGCCGCACTGCCTCTCTTCACGACGGTATTCTTGCTCAACAGAATCCATTGGCGTGCCATATTTATATCTTTTATCAATTACTTCTTTCTGGATTTGCTCACGCATCATCTACATTCATATCTGAATGCATACATACATACACACACCACAATCACATACATATACATCTTTCATCTTTGTAGTTTTATTGACAATCTTCTTCAATTAGTTGTGGGTTTTTGATTTCTGGGCTTTTGTCTATAGTTGATTTGGAATCATAGATTCTTCTTTTAGACTAAACTATGTTGGTATATATACCCAGCGTTTTGTTCAAGCAATTCTCATTAATCGGTCATGTTTTCCATTAGGTTAATTTAGATACTCTGATTGTGTTAGTTGTCATTTATTCTTTGGTTCCATCATACAATCAATTTTCGAATTCTAATTTGGTTACGTAGATAGTTTTTAAAACAATGTTGCGATTGTTTCCGGCCGCCGTGGATCGGAGATCGGTACCTGATGGTGAAGAAATCTCGTTGAGTTCCGTCCGTGAAGATGACATCCATCAATTTACAGAAGAAGACTCTGTTTCTGGGGAGAGTTCAGAAGATGAGGGTGATTCTTCGTCTGTTTCTGATTGTGAAAGTGTTACTTCTGCAAAACGAAGCATCGAACACACCAGAATCCAAGCAGATGGGTTGGTTCGATTGGATGAGAGCGATAAATTGCATGGAATAATTGGGAAAAAGTTCATATCTAGATTGAGTGTTCATGGGGTTAATGCTCAAGTTCAATACATTCATAGGAATCTGTTCAATGCTGGTTCAATCTCTCTAGCTAGGCTCAGGAGCTTCCAAATTTTCACAAAAGCTGTGGAGAAGAAAAATGGAGGTGATGCTAACATCAAGTATGGTTGGTTTGGTGCTTCAAAAGATGAAATCAAAAAGATTATTCTTCACGGATTTGGACATGATAACATTAAGAACAGTGGTTTATTTGGTCATGCTGTTGTTCTTTCTGCTGATCATTCTCCTCTTGAAAGGTTGGTTTCCTTTGATCCATGTTCTTCAATCTATTCTATGATTATAAGTGATCAACTGATTGTTTTCAATAGGGTTCTATCCGATTATGATATGAACTTACTGATTTATTTATATAAACAGTATGGAGTCTGCAAGTCTTGATGATGATGGAATAAGACACATTTTGCTTTGCCGTGTTATATTGGGTAAAACGGAGCTTGTGAATCCATTTTCAACCCAATGCCATCCGAGTTCTGAGGATTTCCAGTCGGGTGTTGATAACTTGGCGTCTCCGAAGAAGTTTGTCGTGTGGAGCAGTCAGATGAACACTCATATATTGCCCGAATTCGTCATAAGCTTCAAGACACTATCCACCATAAACAGTGAGTCGAGTTAGTATTGAATTTGACCATATCGGCAAATGGTTTCGCGATTAATCATGTACCCAATTTTGATTTGATCCAGGGCCTCAACTAGATGGAGTTCATCTTCGGAAACCCGTTTCTCCTTGGATCCCGATTCCAGATCTCATTGCAGCACTTTCCAAGCTTTTGCCTCCTGAATCCATGAAGGAAATCACAAAGTATCGCCGTAGTTACATTGTAAGTCTAACAGATCATACATTTTTGTATCAATGAATCTTGGGTTCGTTCTCTTGATTCTAACGGCTTTTGTTATCGCAGGAGCATAAGATATCTAGACGCGATATGATACAAGGAATCCGAGAATTCACTGGAGACAGACTGTTGCTGATGGTCCTAAAAGATTTCACAGAGCAGGTATGCATTCGGTGCTGTAAAAATTCGATTTTTATGGTTTCAACTTGTAGAATTCTGATCAAGAAACCGTCTGTTCATTCTAATTTTGTTGAGACATATCTTTGGTAGTTCAAATTTGCCTGTTTAATGTATAATTGCCAATTGGGAATGGTTGTTTACTTGTGTTACACCTCTTACAGAGAGATTTAAGAACTTCAACATGAAATGAGATTCTTGAATGTGCATCAGAATACTGAACTTGAACCCATAAAAGAACACCACATGGAAGAGCGGTTCAGAGCTCGTTTAATTTTACGGTGCATTTGGTTCGTGGAACAATAAAGTAACAAAAAACTTTTTGTGTCATATTTGGTACAACATTTGGTTGGGATTGGACATGAGTGAAACAAAAATGCATTTTTTTCCCGTCCAACCAAAATATGACTCGGAGGATGGACAGGACCTTACCTGAGGGGAAACAATATCAGCAGCTTTAGACTCTGCAGAAGTAGCTGTGACTGATGGTGATGTTCTTGGTGTCTAATTTTGCAGCGACGACATGGCCTTGGTGGGAAATTTGAGTCGAGATCCGATCTATTCAAGTAAAGGTCGCGGGAAGTGCTAGTTTGCAGGTGGGAATAAAACGAAAACCGAAAGGAGACTCAAGGGATTCTGTCTTAGATGTGGTAGGTTACGTTATAAATGTACCCCATACAATTCGATGAATTATAGGGATATGGAGTTCAAGATTTTATCGTTTTGGATGCAATCAAGCAATGGATCTCTGATATAAAATCTTTGCCTTTTTCGATCTTGGCCTCTTTCGTTGCAATCAAAAAATGCATCTTTCATGTGAAATCTTTCGTTCCATGCCCTCTTTCGTTGGAACTGGGTACAACACTCGGATGTCATGTAGTACGAGGAATGTTGAAATAAAAACCGTACATATTTTGAGGATCTGAAAACGAATATTAGAATTTTATTATTGTGAATATGTGTGCAAATATTCGATTTGATTATATAGTATTAAGTTATACAGATTTTGAGGTATTGTTGTTGTCCGACTTCAATAAGTAATGATAATTGAACTCATATTATTAAGTACTCGATTTGATTTGATTTGATTTGATCTGATCTGATCGAAAACAGTATTAATTGTAAAACGAATAACATGAATAGAAGATATCCCATTATAAATCGAAGTATTCAATAGGAGAAAGATGGAAATACGAGCTTCATAATTTACTAACAACCACCGTTACCATTTCATCATTAAATTGCAACGTCTTATATATGGTGTACGATAAGAAATGCCAAGCATTCATCTCTTGGAATGATGTTATAGAAAACATTAAAACAGGATCAAGTTGACGTTGAAAATATCTTTTTAAGTTTCAAATTGGTAATCGAGTGACGTTGAAGATGTCTTTGGGAAAAGGAATGGTAATTACTTACGGTCTAGCAAAAGTGGGAAACTAGGTTCCCACCCGATGTTATAACTTTCCAGGTAGTTGCTAGAGCCTAGTTTCTGAAATTACCAAATGGTTGCATGTATTCAAGTTGAAAAAAACGTTTAGCTAATTAAATCATGGGTAGTTTCGCTACAAGAGTTGTGAGAGTAGATGGTAGGCTCTACTTCGAAGTTAACCACAAGGGTCGGGTAGCATGGTGGATAAACATAAGGAGATGATAGAAATCAACACGGGTTCAGCCATTTATATATGCACTTATGGTCACGGAGATTTACCTCAGGGCCTTGACTTGCCATGGATTAGTCGGTACGAAACCTAAGATCACTAATCACAGCGCAAGTAATGGATAGAAAGATCAAAATGTTGAGAAACAAGGATTAACCCGTGAACATGCAATGGCGATTCCATGAGGGCTTTATGAAGAGACTCGAGAATCCTATGTAAAGTATCTCAAATTATATTGTTAATTGTAATACGAATTTTTCGAAGAGCAAAAAATTTGTGATGCACCAAAGGTTTAAAACTCACAGGAAGATTTTGTATCATGTAGTTAGGGGAAGCAAATATTTACATGACATGCAATAAAACCCAAAAACTTGTCGTTACGATCACTCATTATTTAACGAACTTGAAACATATTATCTGATATACAAAAACATTTATCAATTTATTATAAGTTAGAAGGTTTAACTTCTTCAAAAACTGTTTATTACCGATTTGATATCGATATAAATTATTTATCCAAACACTAAAAAATATTTATTACCGATATCTCACACAAAATTTCTATACCTTATAACAATGGTACCACACCTATTCTCAGATATTTTTTAAAGTTAATTGTTTATGTAGATTTGGGAAATTAAATTTAAATAAAATTATATAACTTAAAAAAGAAAGGCCACACACTGACACAGCATTGTCTCGGCCCAATCAGAAGCCCCATTTCCCACTTCACAAATAACTTCCCGCAAACACTTTCAATCACCCTCTCGCTCTCCAAAATCATCTCCATTTGAGATCCTCAATTTCAGCACCGGCGCCACCATGCAGTCCAATACACTTCCCGGTATATCGCCTAGCTTCACCGCTCATTCTTCTACCAACCTTGCGGATGTTGCCGCTAGGGTTGTCGAAGAATTTCGCCATGAAAATGGCGACGATTATGATGATATCTTCAACTTTAACGGTTATGATCATGATTATGATGACGGTCGGTTCGCTGTTCCCGCTGACGACAAAGCTGACACCGATACTCCTTCAGAAAAATTGAAGGATGAGAATTCTGATACTGATGATGATGATGATGAGTTCGAGTTTGCTGTCGTTTCTAGCCACGTTAATTCATCTTCGATTTCAGCTGATGAGATCTCCCAGGGTCATATATCGCCTCGGTACCCCCTATTTGATAGGAGTTTGTTGTTAGATGTCGATCCTAATTTAATTAAGGTTGTTAATGGTTCGCCGGAGACTGATTGTAAGCCGTCTCTGGTGGTACGGCTGCCACTGAGAAAGCTTTTCAGTGAAGAGCGCGATTTCTCGTCGTGGTCGTCCTCGGAGGCTGACGATCTCGACGGAGTTAACCCTGGGACCTATTGCGTGTGGAAGCCGAAGACAGAGTCGCCTGGAAGGTGTAAGAAGAGTAATTCCACCGGTAATTCGTCACGGCGATGGAAGTTCCGTGACATTCTCTACCGGAGCAACAGCGACAGCAAGGAATCGCCGTTTCTCCTTTTCAAACCTCTAATTTCAACGAACAAGAAGATAAACAATGAAAAGGTTGAGAAAAGTGCCAAGGTAGCTTCTGCTGTCGGTGGAACAGCAGAAAATGGAGGAAGCCGGCGTCGGTCGTACCTACCATCTGGACAAGCTCTGGTTGGTGCATTTACTAACGTAAGCCGATCCAACAGAAATCTACGTCCCTTCTAATTTAGCCTGAGAATTAGTCGTAGGGTTTGCATTTATGAAATCAATACATGACCATGAGTGAGAGTGAGAGTGATCTGTACATACAAAATTAGTCAATCAATTATGTGATTCTGTTATTTTGAGTAACTTATTTCACGGCGGTGGACATGGTTGTCGGAGATGTCTACGGGGGGCGGCGGTGGTGGTGCAGATAGATATTGATAATGTTGTTGTTAAGAATAAGGGGGGAATAATGGAGCAATAATGAGACAGCTTTTGGAAAAGGTAAAGGGCGGGGGTCAATTTGTAAAAAATGAAAAAGTTAAAGGAGGAATAAAGAAAGATATTGGAATAGCGAAGCATACGGAAAGCGTGTGGGTAGGTTTCATCACGCAATCACTGTGTGACGAAGTTTTATTATACGTGCCATTGTATATCACCTTCACCTTCATATATATTAATACGGTATGTATACATCATAAATTTAAAAATCTAAAAAAAACCCTAAATTTTATATTTGAAAGCTTTATTTTTATCAAGTCAATTTTTGTATTCGTCAAGATATTAAAATCAAATTTATAATTATTAGTTTGCAAAATAAATTAGTTATACACGAACATTTTTTAATGTTGATTTTAAAATGTTTATACCTAGACGACCATAATGTCTATTTGAGCATTGGTGATAAAGTGAGAACATCAAGACTGCTTGCTTATCAAACACAATTGGCTCATATGCATTATAGTCTAAATTACATGAGTCTAAATAAATGACCGTCACACTCAAAACATGTAATTCTTCAATAAATGCAATTCATGTCCAAAGCTCAACATCGCACAATTTAAACTGGATAAATGTCGTCAAAACTCATTTGAGCCAAAATCAAGCAATAAACTCTACACTTACGTGACTACTTAATAAAAGTCTACATTAGTTAAACTATGCATTTACCCAATATTTGTGCAAACTCATGCTCTAAAAATATGATTTGGTCAAAATCCCCCATTGTTGGGATAATTTGTCTCGAAATGAAAGTAATTTATACTTCCAAAATATATTATACCCAACAATATACGTTTTTACAAATAATTTATAAGCCAATACACCATAATTGTATTAACATCAAATGATTCTCATAAATGCAATGAATAGATTACTTTCAACCTTCTAACAACTTCAAATCAATAGAAAGTCCTTTTAATGTCCCTTAAAATCGAACCTTAAACTTCCCAAAAACCCAATCTAGAATGAAAATAGTAGAGGAGAAGAGTTTGAGTGAAGAAATGGGGAAGAAACCCCAAAATCGGACCTTTCTTAGGGGTCGTTTGGTTCGCAGAATGATTTTTGAAGGAATGGAATCTGTCAAAAGAATTGGAATCTGGAAGGAATTGGAATGAAATGTTATCAGGTTTGACCAAGTGTTTGGTTGGCAGGGATAAAATTTAATTTGTCTAATGAATTGGAATCTGTCTGTTTGGTTTGCAACAGAATTGGCATGGAATGATGAAAAAAGACAAAAATACTCTTACTTTGATTTTTTTTAAATTTAATTTTTTAAATACAAATAACAATATTAAATTAACATTTAATGAGAAAAAAAATGTTTATCATTTATTGAAATATATATAAACATAAAAGGTAAAAAAAAAAATTCAACCAACCATAAACCAAACCATTCATAGGAACAGAAGAGTATTTGTGTCATTTAAACACTTTTGTATGGAATGAAATTTAATTCCATCAGATTTGATAAGGAATGGTGAATTCCTCAAATTTGGGAATCTTTGGAATTCAATTCAATTCCATAGGTAACCAAACATTGGAAATGAATTTGGTCAACGAAATTGACCATCAGATTCCGGCGGATTCCGACGAACCAAACGCCCACGTGGCAAGTTGCTCGGATTTCCAACTATTTCTCGAAAATTACTTTAATAGTAATAACGAAATTTTGAGTGTTACATCAAGCTTGAAACATATTTGTTTTCCTATAAATATCTAATCTTTTTATTTTAATTATTATCTTTTTATGATTGTTTAATGGTTATGTAAAGTTACTCTGACCGGTTGTGGTAGGTTCGTTTCTAACATTCTATAGGCCCTGAGCGAGATGTAAAAAATGAATCTTCAGTAAGTACGAAAAAGATCTTTAATACTCCCTTCGTCCCAAAATAAATGTCCACATTTCTTTTTATATTTGTCTCAAAATAAGTGTCCACTTTCAAAAGCAAATAACAAAAATCTCCAATTTACCCTTAATTAATGCAAAAATTTGTAAGCGTTGTGAATATAAAGAAATTAAATAAGGTCACACTATGTGATAACCGAGTTGAAAGTTTGGGGTTGATTTTGAATAAGTATTAAATTGAGAGGTATGTTTTGAAAAATTTCCTTAAAAATATCTCAAACTATGCACCACCTCTTAGTTTAAAAAGCATTATTTGGTTCTTTTACTTTTAACGTGATAAGAGTAAGAAAGTGGGTGTAGCTTTATTACGTGGATTTGAAGCAAATAGACGAAGAAGAAGAAGAAGAAGAAAATGTTGTTACGTGTTTTTAACTGAATTATTGTTGCGGTTAAAGCTTTCGCCACTTTGTGATTATAAGGTGAGTTTTACTTTCGAAAACATCATTTGATTTGTTTTTGGTAAAGAAACCGTATGGTTTCATACATGGGATTTCGAACATGTTATATGCTAAATTTTAGCATAAGTTAGTGTTTTGATATGTTATTATCAACTGATCGAGATAAGGATGACATAATCAAGAGAGTTACTGGGATAAAGGTGGCAAAATCAATTGAATGTAAAAATGAGATTTTGATCATGTGGAAACTGTTATCGCATCTTTATGATGCGACAAATGGGTTTTATCGCATTCTTATGATGCAAGCAAAGTGTTTATCGCATCCTTGTGATACGAGGAATGAGGGTTATCGCACCTATATGATGCGACAAGGTGGAGTTATCGCATCAGTGTGATGCGACAAAGTGAAATAATCACATCCATATAATGCGAGGAAGTGTATTATCGCATCTATATGATGCGACAAGATTGATATGACACGATAAAAATATGATCACATCAATGAGATGCGACAAGTTGGTATGTTTTATGATTGTTGCGATAACTTTGGTACTTCATGAGTTGATGCGATAAAATGAGGTTGTCTCATCTATATGATGCGACAAAGAGGTTTGTTTCAATAAGTCACTGTTTATTCGTTATCAATACAATATGAACTTTCTAAAAGTGTTTTGGTGATTTTCATCTTATAATAGTAATAAAAGAAGATTCTCGCTAGACTTTATGGTCTAACCCTCATTTTTGTTTTAAAAATATGCATTATCGGTCGGGCACATGAGGAGAGTAAGGGAAAGAGAAAGATGTGAAGGGATCATGATTGCATTACATTTGTGAATTTTGAAAGTTGTTACTGTATATGTACTTGAGGACTTGTTATATTTACAAGTCTTATACTTGGTATAAATGAAAATTTTGTAGCTACTTTTATAGGCAACATTTTGTATATATTGGGATCAATGTGTAAATTTGTATTTCATGTTAAATGAAATATGCAGTTTTATGCAAATATGGATTTAGGGTGTTACACACTGATAGCTTCAATAGTTTACTAGAATTTTTGTTTGGGGATTTCACTGTATCGATATAGTAGGCCTCCTTGGCCACTCCACTAGTGGCTCTGCTTCGTCCTAGAAACTACTGCTTCCGCTTCTTGGTTAACCACAGAGTGTAAGAATTATGCATGTCTAAAATTATGTGTCATTTCAATTGTGGACACTTATTTTGGGACGGAAAGAGTATGTTATTTTTTATCATTAGAAATAACATTGAATTTAAGAAATACCAAGAATTTATAAAACCGTTTTAAAAGAGTATTCCTAGACGCAAAATCAATAAATAATTATTTTTAGATTAATATTATCTACCATGTCATTTTTACATAACATTCGTCAATTCGTTCCACCATAAAAACATCATATCATATACCTTTAATATATAAATTGAAATCACTTGGAGCCGTAATATCAACTATTCGGAGTAACACTTTATGTAAATCAATAAAAATCAGTTGGTTTTCCATTTTAACACAGGTTAATGTTTTTCATTACCGTTTTAAACTTTTAGGGTTAAAATAATTTCTTTCGGAACCATTAATCTTGGAACCAAAAATCCATATTGGTTATAGCTTGAGATCTTATTCTTGTTTTAGAGATAGGAAAATGCTTAAGACTCATACGTTCAATATTAGGTAATAAAAAGTCAATAATGTATGAAAAACCAATGGTAATTTTGAAACCTTAAATATAGATATAAGTTAGTAAAAAAAAGTTCCAAATGTAAGAGTTTTCTTAATTAATAACAAGAAATCTAACATATTTTAATACAAAAATAGAATTCATACTAATCGGATAATAATAAAAATTTAGTGGGAGATGAACAATAAAGAATATATCAAGGTTTTGTAGACAAATAGTTTTAGACTTTCATACCAAATAAAAAACTTTAAATATTTTTTTTAAAAGTAAACATCTGAGAAACTGTATTTGGTTGCTTATAAACCTTTCATTTTCGAATAATGAAATAAACGTTTTTGTAGTAGACAACACACACACAYACACACACACACACACACACACAYAYATATATATATATATATATATATATATATATATATAGTAACGAATAAAGAGGAATGAGTTGTTTGGCAATTACTGAATGATTTGGTGCAGAATGATTAAGAGGCTCTCATGATATGATATAGTGCAAAATGAAATATAATTGTTTGTTAATTGTGTACATTGAAATTAGGGCTCTTAATGGTTAAAGGAGATCCATGATACAAAATCATTTAGGGGGTTTTAGAACCAGTAAGAGACATATTTTTTTTTGACAAACAAGATTCACACAATTCAGAGGTTGCTTCTTAATGGAACAATTAAGAGGTAAACAAACAACCCTGAAGTGACGATTATGGTTATGGGATGCTTTTAGATATATATTCAATATTAATATACAATGGTTAAATGTGTATTTTCTAACGACAACAACTAATAAATGTCTTAATTGAAACAGAAAAACGAAAACTTATCTTAAAACTGTCATACTAAAACAT